TCTACCTAGACAGGCAGGTATGTATTAACGTACCCATGCCTATTTTTACGACTGATATATCCCGCTCCACGGGAGCGACTGTATGAGTGAATGCATACTGATGTGGCCCTCAACGACAGTTTGTCTTTACATCTCAAACGTACAAGGCAGGTAAGCCAGACACGCACTGACAACTCGTTACCTGAGCGGAAGTTCGTGAGGCAAACCAAATTTTCTGCTAGTGACTCGCACGTTACAGGAGATGCTCGTAGATAGGACTGCTCGTCACCCGAGGCTCCACTGTATATAGATGCAAAAAACGTGTGATAATTGAAAGGCAAATTATCATTAAAAACGGTCACGTATCACAGCATCCAAAGGTTCTTGGTTTCCGTGGTAATGCCTATAATAGACTGTTACCCAAAACTTATTTAAGCCCAGTAAGGTAGTACCTCTTGGTAGCATCATGATAAAAAACACGCTCTTCGTGGGTACGACGTTCACATATCTGACTCCACAGATTGTAAGCCTACCACTTTGCCGCAAAGTTCCGGTCGATAGCCCCCAGCCCCCCTCGGTTCTCGAGCAGTTCTATCACGTTAAAGTTATTTGTCAATCGTCCATTTTAGTCCCCGTCCTGCAACCAAGTCAAGTTTTTTGAACGCTACTGTAGCCTTTCCGAATGTTTATGATTGCCAGCCGTATTGCTAAAATATTCAAATCCATCAACTACTAGGCGGCACTTTAAATGTCAACGCTTTCCCACCGAACTGATATCGGCTCATGGTCTAGAAGGAGCCATTTGGGTCTTCTTCTCTCTAATTGGTTCTTACTCTGTCACCGCCTGCTGGGACCGCACCTCGGAGCCCTAGGGTGAAACTAAACTTCCCAGCTAGATGCACACCACTTTCGTGTGACTTACTATTTGCCATCTCAGCTGACCCACTGCTCAGCGATTGTCCAATGTACAACTGAACCGCGGATTGAACCTTCCGGTCTTCCTGACTATTTAAGAGTGCTGGGGCGGTTTTCGTGCCTTTTATGTCGTTCATTTTCGTTTAAATTCCACCGAATATCTTTTACCTCTGTTGAGTAGAGAAGCAGCCCTCACTGTCTCCTTTCGTCAGTGACACTTCAATTTATGTTCGGAAACAGCTTATTGAAATAAATGAAAATCTGCGCTCGAAAATTAGACACAATTGTCGACTCTATGTCAACTCCATACCCTGTCTATGTAACCTCTATATCATAATTTGATCACCTCTATATCATCTCTATAACAACCCTTTAGAAATAATGTAGAGTCGACAATTGTGTCCAATTGGGCACTATTGGGCTATTTTAATTATCGCGCGCAAATATTCGGGTATTTGGTTATTGACATAATTATTCTTATTATTTTCTACTCACACGTTCTACTTTTTGAAAATTATTGCTTCCTTCTGGTATGCCCCACCCATTTAAACTTTATTACCATCTGCCGCGTATTACAGAAGGATGGGGTTTTCATGTGCTGTTGTGGACCCTAAGTTAAACTGTTACCCTGTTCGTCTGTATCATTTGGTGTTAGCGTCCCTTTGGCGTGGACCTCAAAATGGTCTTCTCTGCTTTGTTTTGTTTTAGTGGCTGAAATGGTCGCCCGCTACCGACAAGCCGGTGCTAATGGACGTGCTCAAATGGAAGTGGAGTACGGCAAGGCTAACCTGGATCAGCTGATCACCGAGTACGAATCCAATGAAGTCATAAAGAAGGAATGCAAGCGCTGCCCCAGATGCAACGCCCCCATTCAGGTCGGTCAGTACATCTTTTATCGTCCTACGCCTGTTCACATTTCTTTATCCTTTGCATGTGTGGCATGGGCTGTTTTGTTGAACATTTATGCTTTGAAAGAGAGCGCAGTGGGCGAATGCCTGTGCTGAGGTTAGTGGCGTTGCAGTATATGTTTATAATTAATTTTATTTGTCAAAATGTTAACAAGTTCAAATGGAAATCTAGGTTACCTTGTATTTGACGGTCTCCCAGGAAATAGAAGAACACCCGTCATGTGTACCTCCGAAAATTGGGCTTAGATATGGCTAGCTGATGACGGCTAATAAGCTAGAAACGGCTACTTCATTCCCCTTTCTCTTTGTCGAAAGTTTCACTCCATACTATATCTATACGCAACTCTCTGAGCTGACGGTCCTCTACACAACCCTCCCCCCTTCCCAGCCGTCTATCTTCCCACCCCATCCCTCTTCCTCCTCGTAACCTGTCTTTGCGCTTCTTTTTTTCCGGCAGAAAAACGGAGGTTGCAACCACATGACTTGCAAACAGTGTCATCAGGAGTTCTGTTGGCTCTGCGGTGTCGCTATGCAAGGCATAGGTCACTTCCAAAACTCCAGTTGCCGTCAGTTCAGCTGAAAGGTTTCCGGTGCCTACGAATTCTGTGCTTTCTTCTTATACGTCTTCACTCACTCAGATGTCAATTTCTTCTCGACAACGCTTTTTTCGAAGTTACTTTATCACCCGTATCTACAAGCGCCAATTTTTTCTATTTCTCTCGGCAACTCATATATATTTATATTTTTTAACGGAAACTGCGATCGCACTTGTTTTTCTGTTTATTTAGACCGGGAGCTTTCTTAATGTTCGGGCGGAAAAGGAAGGGGTGAGAACCAAAACCTTGTGTAATACTCGAGGAAAATTGGGACATCTTCACATTACGAGAACCCTTGGATAGGAAGTTCTGCATGTTTATTCATTCTCAGGTGGTTGACTAGATGCAGGGCAAATGGCCTGCTGTTTTATGGTCATGGAACTATTGGCAGATCCAAGGACGCTATTTCGACCAATCAATGAACGCTCTTGGACAGCTTAGTTTAATGCAAAATGTCCCACGAGATGCGCATTTCGGAGTGAACCTCAGTTTGATGAGACGCAGCGCGTCAAGGCAGAATGTATTGCCTGGCCGACTTAACCACTATTTTGTGGAATTACTCGGTTTACGCACATGCGCATATTACAGTGGCAAAGTTAGATAAATACGACTGGCAACCGGTTTTTGTGTGGCGTAAGACCCTTTTCTACGCGTGCTTCTTCAGGCTGACGCAACCACACTCACTACAACCCCTGAGTCACAGATGAGAGCTGAGCTGGAGGTTTATTTAGAATGAACGTTCTCTGTTCCTCCGCTGTCGAAGGCCTCCCAAACAAGGCAATTCAGACAGAAGGTGTGAAATCCGGAGTGTGCGAAGCCCGATTTGGGACGACGGGAAAGCAGCGGCACTCGGTACGTTTGACTGTAAATCCGGTAGACGCATCCAATGATCGCGGCTTGGTCCTCACACTGTATCGTGGCTGATAGGAAAAAAGAGTGCGACCGGTGACAGTTAAGCCCCCTACTGACCCTACACCACGGCTGCACATACGTCAGCGAGTTTTGGCATAATATTTACTTATTTAGGAGGTTTGGCAGATTCGCTTAATTTTAGTGGACCCAATTGTGAAAAAACTCGCGGCGCTCGGCGGGATTCGGACCCGCATAGTAGAGAAGGCCTTTATGCGAAGCCAACGCTTTAACCAATTAGGCTACAAACACCACCTCGGGTGGTGTGGATTTTACCCGCCCAACCTTACCGCTCTCATGGGATCCACCAATACGGAACAGTAAGCTGACTGCCCAAGCGGTATTTCCTAAACAATCATTTAGAATCCACCAGAATGACTATTTGGCTGACTTAATTATTTAGGAGGTTTGGCAGATCTGCTTAATTTTAGTCGACCCAATTGTGAAAAAAACAACTATTTACACCGGTTTCCGCCGAAAGTTGACCATCGAGTACCCGTGGGGTGAGATGTCATCCACTCCAGTCATGACACTAACGGCACGCTCCGTTACTTCGGTAGACATTGTTGGACCTACCGATTCAAATCAGCACGTATTCCCTTCAATCTCCAGATATTGTTGGTTTGTGAGGTGGTCCCGGAGGGCTGCGCACACTGGTGACCGAGCTATAAGGGATTAGATATCAAGCGTCTCCTGAGAATGGTGTTAATCAATCTGAGATGTGAAGCAGACGAAATTTAGGGCTTTCACACTGTCTTCTGCTATCAACTTAGAAGGAGTTCTTGTAAGCCATATTTTAAATTCCTTTTTCGAACATTCTTGGTACGCATGGCCTTCCTCTCGCGTTTGGTACGAAGCGATGGGAGTTTTAGGTAAGAATATGCACGTTTTAGCAGTTAACACATTCTTGGGAAATGGTAGGTTTGGAAATCGGTTGTATCTAATAGGAACGAGGAATTATAAACAGCATTCTTGATGTACTTCCTAGACAAAAACAGAAAAAAAAATAGTTTTTTTTATAGTTGATGCACTAGCAGAATTTGGATTTTCTAGTTGCTACGACCGTTTACATTTTCCAGGTATGATTAAATCGAAAAAAAAACTGGCTTAAGAAAGAAACTTACGATTGCTCTTCCTTCGCTAATGCTTTTGACTCGGTGGTTATGGCTAACCTGGGCCTCAACTGCTCGGTGCCTACGCGCAAGTCTGTGCTGATTTTCAAGCTAAAAAGACACGAGCGAAGTTAAGGCTGTTTCTGTCTCATTCACGCCCCTTCCTTGTCACTCTACCTTATATGCTTTATCCAGCGGTATCGTAGGTGATATCACTGAGCCGTCAACTGCGTACCACTAGAAATCCTACTCATACTCCTGTGCACTTACGAAATGGAGGCGGTAGACACCACAGACTGCGTCGAAGGCAGTTCAAGAGACGAAGCCTTTACTCATTCTTTGAGTAAAATAGAACTCACGTGTTAACAATGAGACTTAGATCACGTATAGGCACTTACGGAACACTGCCTGAAACCCTCCAATGAAATTTCATTTGGGTAATATTTTTCAGACGAGATTGGTAATAGGTTGGGGCATGCAAACTGTGTTACAAGATGGTGGAGGCAGTCGTCGGACCAGGTGTGTTTGTATTCTGACCTTTTGACCAGCTCATTCAGGTATTTCAGTTCGCAGAATGAAGATAATTTTCCGCACCTTCTCCTTTAGCAACTAGACAGTCTTCTGCGCATCGTATGACTGTAGACGACTGCTAGTCACAGTAACGTGTCAAGGGAGGAACCGGCTATCCATTAATAGCAGCCTTTCGACAAACTTCGGACGCCACCACCGCGGATCTGCGTTCCTCTGACAGTCAACTTCCTCCTACCTATTGTCCACTAGTTATGTGCAGGATACCCTATTTCTCCCACTTCTCTTCCCACACAGAATCGAACCTGACGATTGCAGATAAAAAGTTCTTCCTTATCAGTTGAAGCGACTGCGATAATTCAATCGATCTATTTCAATTATAAGCAGCTACTGTGCTCTGATACTGACGCACGTACACAACGATGCCCAACTTTTGTCCTCGCGCGACTGGGGCGCACATGCGCACGCCAGTCTGGTCTGGCCAATAACCTCTTCCGGTCTGACCAATCATCTTGAAGGCTGACTAAGACAAAGACCGCTCTCTGTGGCCCCTGGGCTGAATGCCGCCAGGCTAGGACTTCAGATTCTGTCCCATTCGGGTGCAGACCTACGCCCATCCTACAGTCGAATTCGTCCTATCTATTCTCAACTCCTTATGTACAGATTAAACTGTTTCTATCACTCTGGCCTCCCACTTCTCCTTAATTTCCTGAGAAACCGGATCTGAAGATCACTGTGACAAGGGTTTTCTCTATTTAAATTAATTTCTTGATGGGTTTTCCATATCAACTTAAGCCACTGCCATAATTTCATCACTATACATACTTCCACTGTTAGCATATTTTGCGCTATGAGAGTGACCCCATGGATATAAAGAAAACGTTAGATAAATTATATTGTTCGCTTGACTCACCGTATAGCATTTGTGGGTTATTATAGTAGGCAACTGAGGTGGCTTCTATGTGCTGCATTAAAATTTATGGATTGGACTTTTGATCCGTACGCCATATGTGTTCCCAGAAATAGGAGTTAGCATCTGACCGGAAAGCTTAACGACTTCGGATATTCTTATGGCCTGACGGGTAGATGAATGTGAAGTAAAGCCGTTATGGGGAACAAGAACTACGACCCAAGCACATTGATTAATCCTATCAAGGAAGGCCATATACGTTATCCTTAACCTTTGTTACATCTGCCAGAGACCATATCAAGTTTCGTCGAGTCTTGTTTTTTTTGAAGGATTTCGCAATTTTGTAACCAATTTAAACTAAATAGTCATAGTTTCATTCCATTTGCCTTAATAACAACAAAGCGATGCTCGGACGGGAGTGCCAAGCCATTATTAAACCAAGTACGGACTTGTATGTTGAATAAGAAGTTCCCAACGTTAATGGGTGGACAATTGCGTAGCAAGAGCAATCCTACACTCTATCATCTCTATGTCCATTATTAAAATACATTGCGCCGATAATAACGTCTTGGATAAATACAAAACATTACGTTGATTAAGTTTTCCGCTTGAACCACCGTAAGCACTTTGCAGTTTTCTATGATACTATTCCTCGAT